TTTGATAATACTTAGTACTAGTACGATATTAGAGATTGAATTGTGATTACTATTGAACAGTGAAGTGGAATTTGAATGAATACATATATAACGCGTCTAATCGCCTGTATTGGTTGAAACCCCCACCTTAAATTTGAGGAAGTTGTCAAGTAAATGGATGCTGATTGATTAATGAAGCAACAAGTGGAGGTGCATCGATCAGTCGTACTGTTAATTGGTTTATTGGATCATTATATTATTTCCTTGTATAAGTGGTTTCATGATTTCATCCATCTTTCAGCGCGTTTTCATGGATCAAGTGAATAATAAATTGTGTAGTGAGAGATATATTATCTTTTCAGAAAAAACTAAGAAATAAATCCATCTATTTTTATAAAAAAAAAAATCAATTGAGTCTACATACCATAAACGGAATCAATCAAGTCCATGAAGTGTAAGAAAATAACCAAATCGACTATTTAATGGGTAATCAATTGGTTCTCCGGTTGACTGCCTACGTGGCTTATTTTTTACATTTTACATTTTTTCAGTTTCTCCAGGGGTGGATCCAGGAATGAGGAGTGAGGTGGACTAAACAGTAAAAAAAATTGTTGATGCTTAGGGTTGTTATCCAATCAAGTTGTTTTCAAACTACTCGAGTTTGAAGGTGATTTCAAATTTAATTTAATGACCCGAGCTTAACGAGCTTCGAAATCAAACATGGGCTAGATTTTGAGATCGAATAGTTATTCAAGCCAAGTTTGAGCATAGTGATGTTCGGTTCAATCGAACTCGAGGCTATCGATAACTCATAAATTATAGGAATAAATTATATTTAAATTTATTTTAAATTATAGGAATAAATTATATTTTAAAATTAAAATGTTTGTAGTGCGATTTTATAAATTTATTAATGGTTATTGAAGATTCTAGTATTTATTGGTAAGAATTAAAATACTTCTATAATTCTATTAAGTATAAAACTAATAAGTAAAAACAATCATTGTACATAAAACTACCAAGTATTCTCACTTCCAAAAGTGAGTTGAGATTTTTAATTGTTTCTTAGATGTCCAAACAATAAATAAATCATTCTCTAATCTTAAATTGTACACGTTAATTAATATTAACTCCCTTCAACACTTTGTTGATCCAGTTTTGGAAATAATACACAATAAATAACAGTCATAAAACAATAAATTAAAACATTAAAGTCTAAGAGTGTAATAAACTACTTCGTATTACGAAGTAGTACCTTCTTACCTCGAGGCTGGATCGGGAGAGTGGAGGCATCGGAATCAAATTCGTCAATTGCTCGATTCGTATAGGAGAGTTCAGAGATGGGCGCGTGTCTTCATCTCTTCAAAAATCGCTCCCAGTTCGGCCGCATATGGAAAGCCGCAGATCTGGTAGGCTTGGATTGGAGTGGGCTGGACATAATTTTGGGATGGGCTGATAATTAAAGCTATACATATATTAATAAAAATAAAAATAATTGGGCTGGGCTGAAGCCCACCCCTGCCCTAACTATGATCCGCCCCTGAGTTTTCTATCATTTTTCGCTCTCTCTCTATCTGTTTTCTGTGTTCGGCTCCTTTCCCATTTCGGGCTTACACCGTCCGACCTGCCACCAACTCCTTTTCCCCCATTTGCTTTCTTCTTGCGCCCACCTGTTTCCGGTAAACTTCTCATCCCTCATTCTTTCTGATCTTCTTTATTCTTCCACTTATCCAATCACCACAAAATTGCCACTTCTTTCCTCTAAAAAAAAAATTACCACTTCTTGTTTATGCTTCTAAGAAATTCGATATTGAGGCTTTTAATGTCGAGCGTTTCTTAATTGCACGGGCTTGAATTCTCTGAGCAAAGCTAAAGTCGGGCGCAGGAGTTAGGCGACGAGATTGGGTAGTTGTTGCAGCGGCTTGGACACCGCATAGATATCACTGGGTGAATTGAAGAGGATGTTGGGCGCTCAACTAGCCATTCCCAGCGTGGGGTTAAGTTCAGATCCAAAACCCATACTCTAGATGTGGTGGGCGAACAAGACTCGTGCTTCAATCGAGAGAAAAGTGTCAGTTCAGTACATCAATTCGTAAGCTGTGGAGTAAAGAGTACTTCATCATGCAAACGTGATGGTCCCGGATAGAGGTAAAAGTCTAGAGGGGGGTGAATAGACTTTTAAAGCTTTTTCAACTTTAGAAACTTTTCCCTTCTAGATAGGAAGATCTATAATCTTTTGGGAGATTATAAATGCACAGGGGAAGTCTTGACCTCTTGTGTAAAGTTACTTTCTATATAGGTGAAGTTTTGGATCTTTTTAAGTGGGCAGTTGTCTGGGCAGTTGAGTGAACTGCAGGGAACTGCTAAGACAACTGCTATAGAGAATATGACTGTAAGAGAAATCTGATTGTGGGATCTTGCTAGGAATGATGAAAGCTTTCTAGATGTGTTCTGAGATGGGTTGAAATTCGAACCTTATGAGAGAAGTGGTCTCAGCAGTTGGGTGGTTACCAGGGAACTGCTGAGGCAACTGCTTAAGGAAAAATGAAAGTATGGGAAGACTGATTATATAATATTGCTCAGAGTGATTAGAGCTTTCTGGAAATGTGCTGGGATGAATTGTAGTGAAAGTTTATGGGAGCAGTGGTCTTGGCAGTTGGGTGGTTATTTAGAAAACTGCTAAGGCACTTGCTGAGTAATAAGCTGATTCTCAGAAACCTGTTTGAACACACTTCTTTGTGGTGATATTGTGAGGCTTTTGAGATATTAAGATGTCTTCAAAGAAAGTACGTAATTAAGCAGTAGGCTGAGCAGTAGTTTAAGGTAAAGCTACTGCTAAGGATGCTGCTGGCAAACTACTTTTTTTAAAAGGAAGTGTTGGGTGTGTGTTTTGTTGACTGAAAGTGAATCAACACACAGTATATCCTGGTTCAGAGGTGGTGTAATCCTCCTACATCCAGTCACACCCTCTTTCAGATGGATTTCCACTAAAGTATTAAACCCAATACACTTAGTGCCAATCTAGCCTTTACAACAAACTGACCTAGATTGAAGGTGTTTCACAAGGAGTACACACCACTCCAAGTTACTCAATCCTTAAGATTTTTTCAATTGATCCCGTGGGGATCAAAAGGTACTCTATTCTATTCTTCCACACTTAGGACTAGATAACACTGTCCTTTTAAGTGTTTACAACAGTTTATGATATTACAGAAATTTTAGCCTCCAACTATGAGCTACACTTTTAGAATATAGCAACGGGGAGTTCTAACTTGAAAGTTTAGTGAATCATGAGTCTAAGAAGAGAGCAAAGCTAAACAAGCACTTTCTCTTTGACTAGATATCTCTTAAATGCTCAATAGGATTTTCTCTGCTTAGAAGGCTCAAAAACTTGGTTTCTATCCTCATGCTTCTGCCTATATTTATAGGCCTCTCCAGTTGATTTATCTCATCCGTTGGTTGAGATGAATTAATCTTTGACGTTGATCGACTTGTACTTTTGTCTTCATGTGCTGGAGCATTTATTGAGGATGTCTTTACTTATTTGCCGCTGAGAAATCACTTCAAGATCATTTGATGTGTGCTTCCCACGCTCTAGACCCCATGTACTTGATTTAGCATTAACTGTCGGTCAAGTTTTGTCTTCAATCATATACATTCAATGTACTCCCTCCGTTTCTAAAAGAACCTCACACTTTCCTTTTTTGGATGTGCCAAAATAAAAGTCACACTTCCCTTATTTCCTTATTTGGCAAAGAAATCTACATCCAAACAGTGTCAAACAGTGCCAAACAGTGTCCAAACAGTGTCAAACAGTGTCTAAACAGTGTTTTCTACAGTAAAGTCAATTTATTTCCTTAATAATCGTGAAGTCAAACCGTGACTTTCTTTTAGAAACGGAGGGAGTATATGATTTTCCGTACCTGCGCAACTTTATTTTTTGTGACAGTTTAATTTTTGTGTGCAAATAAATTTATACTGGTAGGATTTAAATAGTCTATTAAGATAAAAATTAGGAAAAATTGATAGTAATAATCCCAACTATTGGTGGTCCGCTCATAATAATCCCAACTATTGATTATTACAGAATAATCCCAACTTTAGGGACCTTCCGCCAATAATGGTCCCTATGAATAAATTCTTGTAGTTTCTAAAGTGGATGGGTGAGATATAACAAGTAATCCCTCTAAATAATCTCAACTTTTAATTTTTACGCTTAATTTCTATTTAAAATTCACTTTTTATAGAGGTAATATATGGTCATGGACCATTATTGGCGGATAGTCTATGTAGTTGGGATTATACAAAAATAATCAATAGTTGGGATTATTTTCAGCGGACCGGCAATAGTTGGAATTATTATTTTCAATTTTTCCTAAAAATTATCTTATTGCATTTTTAATTTCCAGTATAGTTTACTACCCACAAAAATTTTACATTGATTTGTCATTATACTAATACGCAAATTAATTAAGACACAATGTATTATAGCAAATTATAGTGGCATCATCAAAATTGGGTACTAACAAAACGAGATTGAAAGGTACATAAAATGACCAAACAGGAGCTAATTTGGTCTTACCGGGAATTAGTTAGGATAAAACACTGAGGTGGACAATGTTTTACTGGTGTGGCAAAATTCAACACACCTTGCCCATTTACAGGTCGTTAATAACTTCCAACCCTAAGCCCTTCTATTCTTACGCAACTTAGAAACGAACGGAATGGGATTTGAAGACCTAAAGCCATTGTCAAGAAGCTTAAAGTAATTCCAGTCCTTGATTTGAAGATGGAGAATGACTCATCTCAAGAAAGGTATTCTAAAGTATTTCGTAAGCAACATGTGTTTACCATTCTACAGAACAGTGGCGGATCCAGCAAATGAAAGTGCTGGGGGCAGAATATGAAGAAGAACATAAAGACAATATAAAGTAAAAATACTTGATAAATATATCTGAATAACAAATAGTTGTAACAAAATAACATTATAATGAAATAAAGTATATTACAATGTCAAAAGGCACAAATAAAGTAAATCACAACTGCTCTCTTCGAGTTTTCATTTTTTAAAGAGATCTATTACAGTTTCATTTGTTACTGTTTCAAATACATCTCTTTCAATAAAACAAACTAAACAGTCACTGAGAAACTGATCGCCAATTCTGTTACGCAAATTAGTCTTCTCATAGCAGAAAAGCATCTCTCAACAGTTGCAGTGGGAACTGGCAAAGTCAAAGCTAGCTTTAAAAGCCTATATACGAGAGGGTGTGAAAGATGTTTTCTTGTGTTCACCATCACTTAAGCAAGATCACCAAGACTTTTCAAGTTACGAAACCTTTCATTCCGCTAGGAGATTATCAATGTAAACACCAAGCTCATGCTCAAGGCTCCTGCGTTCAACACAACTAAAATCCTCTGGATAAATCTCAACAAACCTCATCAATTTCAAAGGGTCAAACTCACGAAAAGAATTAATCGAACTCAAAGAAGTCATGCAAGTAAGCAATTCAGAATTTACCTCATCAAACCGATCCTCAAATTCTTTGATTTGCAAATCCATAACAGTATTAAAACATTCAAACTCATAATGATGCCGATTGGTAATATTAGTTCTTTGTCATGGACGCTTGGGGTTAACAAAGTTTTCTTCCATATCAAGCATTGAAACTTCATACTTCTCACGGAATGAAGAGATCTTTCTCAAATGAGAACCCCACCCATCAACTCTAACTTTTAACAATTGCCGCTTTGTTGTTTCTACTAATGACATAGCATTGAGTATATCTTGATCTTTCCTTTGAAGAGCAACTGACAAAGAGTTTGTGAGTCCCAAAATAAGCAACATCAATTGTAAATAGAAGACGAAATCAAAGGATTGAAAGTATTTTAAAAGACCGTTTGCTTGACGTCTTTTTACACTATCAATGCCTTCAATTTCAACATATTCAAGGACCTCAACAACAGATGGAAACAATTCAACCAAATTCAAAAGTGTTCTATAGTGAGAACCCCAACGCGTGTTTACAGGTCTTTGAAGTGCAAGTTCATGATTCAGACCTGTTCCCGTGCTAATTTCGCCACTGCTTATAGCTCGCTTCACTTTTTTTTGGTGGCTTTCTCGAATCATATCTCTTATTTTACAAGAAGCTCCAACCACATTCAACAATAATGATATCATATCAAAGAAATCTCCAGCTTGAAAGTGTTTTTTTGAAACTGCCACAACAACTAGTTGTAGTTGATGAGCAAAACAATGAAAATAATCAGCCGAGTTATTTTCTTTCAAAATTAAAGCTCTGAGACCATTGAATTCACCCTACATATTACTTGCACCATCGTAGCCCTGGCCTCTCACATTTTTCAAACTCAGCCCATAATAAAAAAAAACACAACCAATAGCAGATTTAAGAGATAAAGAAGATGTATCTTTGACATGAACAACACCAATAAAACTTTCTTTAACCATGCCGCATTTATCAACGTAACGCAAAACCATAGCCATTTTCTCTTTGTAAGAAACATCGCTGGACTCATCAACAAGCAAAGCAAACACATCATCACCAATATCTGCAATAATAGAACGCACCACTTCTTGTGCAAAACAATTGGCAATATCTTTTTGAATGCTTGGAGCAATAACTTGATTATTCCCCGGAGCGTTTTTTAAAACAACCTTACTAACCGCCTCATTCTGAGTGGCGGTATACTTTATCAATTCCAAAAAATTACCTCTATTGTTAGAATCTTCAGACTCATCATGACCACGATAAGGGAGTCCTTGATGCAATAAAAATCTTGAACCATTAATAGAAGCATTCAAGCGAATACGATACTCATTTTTCACAATTCCATTTTGTCTATCCATTGCAACTGCAATTGATTGATCTTGGTTCATCAAAGCATCACACCTTTTAACTGCTATGTTGTGAAAACTACTTATTTCACCCACATGATAGCCTAATCTCTCAGTTTTGTTCCAACTTGAAAAGCCTTCGCTTACAAATGCATCACTCCCACCACGATTTTCAAAATAATCTCTAAACAAGTAACAACATAAACAGAAAGTTTTGTCATCTTGAATACTATACTCTAACCAGCTAGGGTATTTATCAAACCATTTAGAATTAAACTGTCTCGAAGTATTCCCGATTTCCTTTTGTGGGAAGTCATGACCACGTGGTTGGCAAGGACCTTTAATCAGATATTTGATTCGAATTTCATCCCTTTGATTAGGATGATATTCAGAAATTTTTCTTCTTTTTACGGGGTCCAAAGGAAGGTAATCCAAATTGACTTCTTGAGACATTGGGTTATGACATTGAGAAATAATATTACACACATTTACACTTGAACTTCCTAGTGTTGAGGAGGGTGTTGAGGAGGGTGTTGAGGAGGATGTTGAGGAGGATGTTTTACTCAAAAATCTGCCCATAAAAGCTGATAAAAAAAATAAATCAGTTTTTTTGGTAACTAATGTAGTCTTTATTTATCTTATTATCTTACACCTTCTTTTAGCTATAAAAATATAATTTGCATAGTTAATTTACTAGTTAACTTAATTCTTTGATCCTAATACTATTTAGGAATTAGGATTAGGATTGACGATTATTAATTTTTAATATTGATTATTAATTTTGACTAACTTTTTTATAAAGCTAGATAAATTTTATTAATGAATATTTATCATGTCTAAACAACTAAACAAGTAAAACATTACATGATTACAAGTTTACAACATCAAGGTAAAATGGCAGAACGCTAATCTACCCATTAGCCATTAACTCATGAAGTTAAAACAAAAAATAAAGTATATTAGTCAAATAGTTATTAGTTAATATTCAATAATCGAGAAACCTGCACTTTTGGAATTTGGAACCGGAGCTTTTGATTTTCTCGACGCCATTCTCGAGTTCTAGCTGCTATTTCTCCCTTTTGGTCTGCACTAAAGGCCTTAATCGTCTGCCGTCCAGCCTTGAGCCTCCATGGCGCCACTGAGCAAGCTTAAGAATTCAGGCAACGACTCCGCTCGTCGACTCTAGGCTCCACTGCGCTCAACGCTGGTGAGTCGAGTCGCAGACTCTGTTCTTCTAATGCTAGGGATTTGATTTGCCAATTTGGTCAATTACTTTGCTATCTGTTGGGGAAGTGGGGAGTGTTGGCCGCTGGCAAGTACGATTTTTTAATTTGGGCATTGGAAATTTGGATTATTTGGGCTTTTGGGCTTATTGAATGATTGGGCTAGGTATATGGGGGCATTTTTATTTTTTAACTGGGGGCAATTGTATAGGGTAGGGATATTTCTTACTAAATTATAATAAGCTAGTAGAAGTTTGCTGGGCGCAGCCCCCCCCCCCCCTATAGTTGTTGTACGTCCTCCCCTGCTACACAATGAATACATCCATACAATTTTATATGAATCCATTATTGTACATTAATATTGTTATACATGAATGCATTGTTGAAGTGTTTTTAGGGTTGTAAATCGCTTAAGCATAATATTACAGTGCTCAACATTATTGTTGCATCATTTCTTAAAATTTGTGTCTATAGCAATTTTTTATATCTTTCACTGCTTTGAAGTACCTGAGAATCATTTAATTGTGTTGGATTGGTTATTGATACATACTTATTATGAAGCAGACAAACAATGGAGGGGCCTACAGGTAATGTCCCGTTTGCTGTTGACTTGGGCTTCAAAGATTCTCTCATTGAGGCGGAAGCAAACCTGTTATTTGAAGAGGGATTTAACTCTGAAAATGAAGATGATGAGGAGCTACTTCATGGCCGGAGTTTGCTAAGGAAGCTAGTCACAAATTCAAAGAGTCATCATCAAAGTAACTAGCCGATATGTCGAATTATAGAGTTAGGGAATTTTAATTGGACTGGACTTTTTTTATCTGATCTAGTTGACCAGATCAATTTTAGTTTGGAGCTGGTCTGGTCTAAAATTTTATTTATGTTATAATAGGTTCCATCTGTTATGTTTAAAAAAAATCAAAATAAAAAACCCTTTGTCTCACTTAAAAGTTCATGTCCATTATTCTCTAGTCTAAACCAATTTATAATCTTGTACTTTATATATTCAACTTTTATTAAAATTAAATTTTCTTTTATTAACTTTATAACACTTTTAATATAGTTTCTGAATATGTATATCTTTATATTATCTTCATATACTATTTATAATTAATTTTAGTTATTTATTATTAAGAATAATAAAATTCTTTCAGAAATATTGTACAATACATTACACTTTCTTGATTTTTACCGTGTATCTTCTATAAGTACAAGGGGGAAAATATTGTGGTATGATAAAGAAGATAAAATAGTTTTTACATACTTTTAATCTTGGGATTACTATCAAATAAGCTCCTCTACTTTTAAAAATTTTAATTAGACCCCCCAACTAAAATTTCGCTCAAACCTTTGAACTCATTTTAAAATGACAATTCCCTCCCTTTGACCGGTAGCCTCCCAAATCCCAGTCAAATTGCACATGTGGCGCATGAAATGGCTTTTTTCCTTTTCTTTTTCTTTTTTTTTTCTTTTTCTTTTTCTTATTCTTATTCATTCCATCTTCACTCTCCCTCGGTGTAGCACGGAAACTCTCGGGAAAGAGTATGTTTCCCGTTTCGGAAACTCTCGAAAACTCTTTGAAAACTCTCCAAATAATCATTTTTTGAGCAAATGTTGATGTTTCTCGCTTCTCGTTTGCTCATGATTTTCACGTTTCCGTGCAACATAGCTCCCCCTCCCTTCTCCTTCCCTGTGCACACGGCACACCTGCAATTTTTTTCTTTCTTTTTCATTCTCTTCTTTCCCTGCTTCTCCGACCTCATTTCACCTCCTCACCTTCCTCCGCCTTCACTCCCGCTCCCTACTTCTTTGTCGTCGACTGGGGTGGGGGCTGAATTGAAGCTCCAGCGGATCTGGAAATGGCCGGCCTGGAGGTCTCACAGAACACCATCACCGACCCGGAAGCTTCAACGGACCACCTTCCCCGACTTCAAGGATATCGACTCATGGGCAGGGGACAAGCGATCTGCGAGAAGGAGGCGTCCGGCAGTCCGGCGACGTGGGTTTTTCTCACGAATCTTCGGCGACGTGAAGGACTGGACGACGACCGGTGGGTGAGAATTGGGAGAAGAAAGAAAAAAAAAAAAAGGAGAGAAGAAATGGTGGATGAAAGAAATGGAAGAAGGGGAAAGGGGGAGTTGCTCGAACTGAGAGAGTAGGAGAAAGGGGGAGGAGAAGGAAAAAAGAAAGAGAAAAAAGAAAATGAAAAAAATGAAAATCGCCACGTGGGATGCCATAATTAGGCTTGTCAATGGGTCGGGTCTGGGCCGGAATGTAGTGTTCCAGACCCGGACCCGCTAAGTAAATAAGGGACCCGGACCCGGACCCGTTTACCCGTCGGGTCTGCAATTTTGGACCCGGACCCGGACCCAACGGGTCTCGGGTCTGGGTCGGGTAGACCCGCCATTTTTTTTGGAAGATTAGACCCACCAAATATAAAACAGAACGTGTATATGAATCATGAATGTAATGCAATTCCACAAACTAGCTACATCTAGATCTCAAACATCTTTATTTTTTAAAAACAAAAAATTGATGTTCACGTAAGAAACCAGTACTTTCATCCAAACGTATTGAATGTCTTTGATAGTGAAATAAACAAAACTCAAATAAAATATCCCAGTTTGTTTTAATATGTATTAATGGGATACTAGTTTTAGGTATGTATTACTATATTAGTATATGAAATATATATTAATAAAAAAATTATAAACGGGTCCGGGTCCTTAACCGGTCGGAATCATATATACCATACCCGACCCATTTATTAAAAATATTAACGGGTCCGGATTCGGGTCCGGGTAAACGGAATAAAACATAGACTCATACCCATTAAAAATAACCGGCTTCGGGTCGGGTCCGGGTCTAGACCCGACCCATTGACAGGCCTAGCCATAATGTGTGCAACTAACCGGTTAACCAATGCATTACCGGTCAAAACGGGGAATTGCCACTTTAAAATGAGTTCAAGGGTTTGATTGATCACAATTTGAGTTGGGGGCCTAATTGATATTTTTTAAAAGTTGAGTGACTTTTTGATAGTTTTCCCTTTAATCTTTATAATATACTCCCTCCGTATCAAATTACTTAACTCACTTTCCTTTTTTGGAGTATCAAATTAATTGACCTCTTTTCCTTTTTGGAAAGAATCTCACTCAAAAAGTAGTTACAGTACTGCTACAGTACCGCTACAGTGTCGCTACAGTACAAAAAACCTCTTACTTTTAATAAAGTTTACAGTAATTGTCTTAAACTGCGTGAAAAGCAAATGGGTCAATTAAATTGATACGGAGGGAGTATGCATTAAAAATGTACGATAAATCGAGAAGATATACTCTACAATAATTTGGGAGGAATTTTATTATTTTTAAGAAAAAATAAATGCAAATAAATTATATACAGATTATAATTTATAAATAATATTAATCACATTTCATAGCAGACGAGATGCAAGATATTTTTCCACTGAAATTTTATGGTCTGGTCCAATCTGATTTGGCCTTGTCTGAATTGTCTTGGTTTGGTCTTGTTCGGTAGATTTCTGATTTCCGAGTATTTTATAATTTTTCAAGGTCTAGTCTATTTATGTCTAGTCAGGTTTGTTCAGGTCCGATCTTGTCTAAGACTGAAATAAGTCTAAATAAAAATTTTAAAACAGATCATATCAGATCAGGCAAAAATTGATTAGACCAAATTACATCAAATCAAAAATTTTAAACCATTAAAAAACATCATAACTCTATAATTCAACATTTAGTTATTTAGTTTGCCACACGTTCATTTAATACATTTGCTCACAAAAAAAAATACTACTAGTATGTATAGACTTTGATGTGATTTAGAGAAAATTCTAGGGTGTATATGCATTTATCACAAGTTCTCAACCCAGGATGTTAACTACTCCGTATGTTTAGCGTCAGTGGAAGAGGGGAGATGCTCTCTTTTAATGAAAAGGGGAGTTTTTAGCTGTAATTTAGGGATTTGCCCCTTTTCCGGATTTGAAATCTTTGTTGCCCTTCCAACTCACGCCATAGCCCATAAGCTCCAGGCATATCTCACCATCGCCACTTCGCCTACACCTTCTGCTCCAGGTATTTCTCTTCTACTATCTTCTCACAAGTTCATCTCCTTCAATAAAATCTTTTTCGTACGGACTGATTTTTCTCGAGCGTGGCAGCTCAGCTCTCCCTCAACCTCACTCAGCGCCTCCTTCCCCGCACCTAACACCCACTGCTTTAGATAAATATGGGCTCCAACGGGCTGCCCATAGTTCCATACACCTACAGCCTCCTTGCATTCGTTTTTACAATGTAATTCTGCCCTTGCTTGTTTGCTGTCTGCTTCCGACTTATAAAACTGATCCCAGCATTTGGAAGGAAAACATATCACTATACGTAAAACAGTAAAATGATGTTGTGTGTTTGAGTTGTTTATGGTTTGGGAGCTGCAGTTATGCCCCATAAGTATTCGATGAAATGTCATAATGGTAGTATACATCAAATTTTGAGTTAATATGTAGTTGCTAATAATGTTTGAAGTTGCTGCTACTAATTATGTACGTACTCCTCTATTACTTGCTTATCTTATCACAACTATAGACCTCTCTGTTTTCACACACCCCTTGCCAATTGACAAAAATTAATAATGTTATAGTTCACTTTATTTTTGGTTTAATGGTTCTGTTCGTTTTCTCTTAGAAGTTGTTGAGGTTAATATCCTGTTGCTGGTTGTGATTGCATCCTTGTTTTTTTTAATGTCAAATTCTTACAATTTCAAAATATCAATTTTGTTGTACTATCAAATTCTTATATGAAAAAGGAACACTTATTCAATGCATATTTTTTAGTGATAATAATGGGTGATTCACAAGGAAAAACTAAGATTCGCTATAGTTCTTGGAGTGTGCAAGAGAGTTCTCTTTTGTTACAACTTTTGGTTGATGGTGCTATTCGTGGGTGGCGTGACAGCAGTGGGTTAATAAGTAAACAAATGGTCGAAAAGCAGATACTTCCAGTATTAAATGCAAGGCTTCAATGTGAGAAGACATACCTTATGTATCAAAGTCGATGGAAGTATTTTAAAAAAAAATATCAAAAGTATGAAGAACTTATGAGGTTTAGCCCGGGCTTTGGGTGGGACTCGACTAATAAGAGGTTTACGGCTAGTGAAGAAGTGTGGAAAAACTACTTCGAGGTACTTTGATATATTTATTTGTAGTTACTTTAAGTATTTTAAATAGGTAGACAAATAAATATAGGTTAATGGTTTATTAATATTTACTTTTATTACTTTTTTTTGTAGTCTCATCCTAAGCATAAGAACTTCCGAACTGATACCATTCTCGATTACGAGGACCTGCAAATAGTTGTTGGGAATGCAATGGCTACAGGAAGATACTCAATTGGACTAGGTGAGAAGTCGGATGCTAGAACTTATGGAGGTGAAGAGAACACACACCCATCTCTAGAAGACTACGTTGTTGATGAGTCAGAAGACGTGTTAATGTCGAATCAACAAGCACACTCAAATGATAATGTTAATGAAGAAAGCTTGACCCAACCTCCCCAAAATGTTGGGCATGATAGTATACAAAGCCGCTCAAACAAACGATCTAGATCTGAAAGTGATGGGGCTTGTAAGCAAAATGATAGTGTTTCTCGTGGTGAACTTCAAACAAAGATTGCCAGTAGCATGGATTCAATTTCTGAAATTGCTAGTGACATTCGAGGAGTGAAGGTTTTGATGGAAAAGAGAGAAAAAGATAGAGAAAGAAATGAAAAAGATAAAAAGGAAACTGAAAACAACAACATATGGAATGTGATTACAAAGATTGCCAGTGGCATGGATTCAATTTCTGAAATTGCTAGTGACATTCGAGGAATGAAGGTTTTGATGGAAAAGAGAGAAAAAGATAGAGAAAGAAATGAAAAAGAGAAAAAGGAAGCTGAAAACAACAACATATGGAATGCAATTAAAGAGACTCCAAATTTAGATGACCGCATACGTTATCAAGCACTGACGTTCATACATAAGTTTGGGATGAAAGAAGCTTTTCTCACAATGTCACTTCATGAGCGTTCAGAGTGGATTCACTATAATGTTGAATGAGCATTGTTGACTTGTGCTTTTGTTAAATTTTTGTTTTTGTTCGAATGACCAATTTTTTAATCGTTGGATTTTATGTGTGCTTATTATTGTTTATGTTGGACCTATAGTTTTAATTTATAATATGTTACTGTTAAACTTCTGATTCTTGTTGTGCAACTTGCAAGTGGATTTATAATGAAGCTTGTGTTCAGCTTTTTTAATGTTAATGTTAAACTTCTGTTCTTCATTGTTTATGTGTTTATAATAAAGTTATGCACTAATAACAATATATGATATTTTATATAGGTTTCACACAATGGAAGATGAAACGATGCCTACATGTAATGAAGATGATTACCAATTTTCAAAACCACTTGATGGTTGTATTGATTGGGAGTTAGATTCTTGTGTTCCTAGGGATGCATAATAAGATTGCATGTGTTTGGTTGTGTGCATTCTTGCATAAGAACAGTGGTTACATTTAAACTGTGAGTTTTTGAGCCATTAGTTGCCCAGGGCAGCTTGTTTTCTTTGTAAGTGCATAATTCTCTTCTCTTGGTTGTGTTACTTCTAGAACTTGCTTTAAATCATTTTAGAATCATGAGTTGTGTGCTTGCATGAGAATGATGAAGGCATTAAAATATAACCCAAAAGGCCTTAAAAAGATCACTTTCTCACGGTGTGTGCATTTTGTTCCCTAGGTAGCCTGTTGAGCCATGAAATAAATTTGACCGCTTTCTTTTCTTAGCTACTTCCAAAGAACCCAAAACAATGAAGGAAAGTGTGGCATGCTAGTTTCAGGCATAGAGATGAATGTGAAGTGATGAATATGAGTGGCTCGAATGTTTTGTTCTCAAGTTGAGTTAATAATGGTGGAGTTGTATTGAAGAATTGTTGTACTTGAAGGAGTTGTGTTCAGATTAAAAAAAACAAAGAAAAAGGAAAAATTCACATGAATAATCCCAACTATTCATCGTCTTCCAATATTAATCCCAATTATGCATGATTCTACAATAATCCGAAATTTATTGATAGTCTTCTATAATTCACCCCGAGTGACCGTCCACCTGCTCAACCGGTAAAGGCAAAAAGTGAAAAAACAAAAACCAATAATAAAAAATAAAAGCAAAAGAAAAAGATGAACAACCAATGGGTCAACACCAAGTCTAAGTTTTTCTCTTTTAGGCAGCTAATGAGAAGATGTTTAGAGGCAATAGAATTTAGAAACCAAGTTAAGACTTGTCAAGATCTGGTTAATGCCAAACTCTATCTAGTTTCCTTCTCCCATCTTCTTCTTCTTTATTGGATTGATGTCGACGACGAGTCAGGCGACAACGAGGCAGGTTGGGACTAGGGGTGGACTCTGGCCGGGCGGTTCGGCCCCGTCACTGTTTGAACCGGCCCGAATCGCCGGCCCAGCCAGGGACCGGTCCGGGTAGGCCCCTCAAAAAGTGAACCGGCCCGGCCGGTTCGGGCCCAGTCCGGGGCATTTTTTTTATTTTTTTAAATTTTTGGGTTGGGCTGGGTATTTTGGGCCATTTGAGGTGGTTTGGGGGTGAGGGGGGAGGGTTGGGGATTAATTAGGAAAAGCCAAAAAAAATTGAACCGAGGCCCGGCCCGGCCCGACCCAGACCCGGGGGTTACCCGGGCCGGTTCCGGGCCTCCCCTTTCATGAACCGAGGCCTGGCCGGGCCCAGACCCGAACCGGGCCCGAGTCCACCCCTAGTTGGGACGGAACTTCAAGGCGGCTTAGACAGATGGGGATGGATTCCATCCATCGTTCCTTCTCTCTATTTGGTATCTTCAAATCATGGTTTCCGATTTTTAAGTTAGCTCCCTCGTTTCCATTCAAAACACAAACAGAGTTAGTTTTAGCATTGCTGAGTTCCATAATTTTCTACGCATAGAATGTTGGTCTGCTGAATTTCCTGTTGAACCTAATAATGAATACTCTTCTGAACCATCTTTATTGGAAGAAGTTGAAGAAGAAACGGAAACTCTCCAAACTCAAGATGAACAAAGATAATGTGTGAATCATTAGAAGAATGATATAGCTCAACAAATGTGGATTAATGCCGGGGATGAAGAAATATACTACGTATATTAGAGCTATTAATCCTTTTGTATCTGCAAGAACTAATTTTAATATGCCTATGTCTTGGCGTTAATTTGACATATATGTTCTTGGCTGTCAGTTTACAAAATTCCATTTTAACGTTTGACAGTACACAACTTTGACCATTGCTATATTTACTTCTCTATTTATATATATAAAAAATCAGATGTGGCGAGACAAGCCTAGTTTAACAATACTTTTAAATAATAATTTATTGATAATAAATAAAATGTAGTCAAAGTAAAAATGTGAATATTATTTTTATTCAATAATAAATAAAAATGTAGCCAAAATTATAAAATAATTTTCACGACATGCTTCATTAAGAAATGTAGTTGAGAAATATTTGGTATCTTCAAATCAATGTTTGCGATTTTTAAGTCAGCTTTCCCATTTCCATTCAAAACGCAAGCAGAGTTAGTTTTGGCATGTGGTGGGCTCCATAATTTTCTACTCAAAGAGTATCGGTATGATGAATTTCCTACTGAACATGTTGATAAAGACTGTTCTGAACCGTCTTTATTGGAAGAAGTTGAAGAAAAAATGGACACTCTCCAAACTCAAGATGAACAAAGAAAACATGCAAATCAATGGAGGAATGATATAGCTCCACAAACGTGGATTGATGTCACGGACGAAGAAATAGATTAAAGTTATTAATCCTTTTGTTTGTGCAAGAAATTATTTTAATATGACTATGTATTTTGTTAAGATCCAGGGTTCCATCCTAAAAGGTCAACCTGTTAGGAGGAGTAGCCTGGATCTTAATATAGCATTTAGTTTCTTCACACGTTTCCGGTTTGGGAATTCAACACCTCTCCTCACGATCAGACACTTCGTCTCGATCGTGCCGTCATTCAATTTTTTTCATCAATTCGTCATTGTCATTTTTTTAATAATCACATCAAAATATTTCATTAGGGGGCCCACATCATGGATCGGTTTGGCTCTGATACCATATTAGCGCAAAGTAGTAGAGAAAATTAGGAAGGAAATAATATCAAAGTAGTGTATTATTCATTTGGATCGTAATACAGAGGTCCGTATATATACAAGCTCAAGAAGGTAAAAATATGGTAACTACAAGGCCTAAGACTAAGCCTAAAATAACTCCATTCCGTAGATACAATAGGAGCCTAAAATATTCTACGTCTTTAGGTACTCTATCTCTTGACTTGTTATATAAATTATGATGCTTACTCCGTACGCCATCGAGCATTTCTTGCGGCTATTTCTCATGAGAAGGAACCCGTTTCTTGTAACGAGGCTGTTCGAGATTCACGATGGAGGGAGGCCATGCGTCGTGAGATTGATGCTTTGGAAGCTACTGGAACGTGGACCATGGTGACAATGCCTGCACACAAGAATCCTATTCACTGTAAATGGGTATACAAAATCAAATATAATAGTAATGGTACTATTGAACGGTTTAAAGCCCGGCTTGTGGTGTGTGGTAATAGACAGGTCGAGGGCATTGACTATCATGAAACGTTTGCTCCGGTTGCCAAAATGACAACCGTCAGGACTCTTCTTGCTATTGCTGCCGCCAAAAATTGGGAGTTGCACCAAATGGATGTCGATAACGCTTTTTTGCATGGGCAATTAGATGAAGAGGTCTATATGTATCCACCCCCTGGATTCTCTACCTCGCGGCCTAAGCAGGTTTGTCGCCTGCAACACTCACTTTATGGACTCCGCCAAGCTCCGCGTTGCTGGTTCTCACGTCTTAGTGCTGCCCTTATTTCCTATGGTTTTGTTCGCTCATACGCTGATTATTCTTTATTTACCCTACATAAGGGGGATCGGTTTGTTACTGTTCTTGTTTATGTTGATGATCTACTTATGAAATAATTACATAAATATGACCAAGATAAAGATGTTTTACAAAAATATGATTAGTTACTAGAGTAGTAATGAAATCATAGTAATTCATGTTCAAGTTTTGAACTTAAGTTACTATAACACCATGTTGTAGTAATGAATAGTCATATTTATGTGAATAACTTTTATTTTAGTAATATTCTTATAAAAAACCCTCTACTTATTGCCGGTAATAATTCCTCTCTTATTGGGGCGATTAAGTCCCATCTTGCTAGCTGTTTTCCGATCAAGGATCTTGGACGTCTCAAATATTATTTAGGCCTTGAGGTAGCTCGCAATCACATTGGCATATTTTTGTGTCAACTGAAATACACATAGGATTTACTTGATGAGCTTGGGCTGTCTGGATGTAAACCTTCGGATTTTCCCATGGAACAACATCACCGGTTGGCGGTATCTGATAGTCCGTTATTCCCTCAACCAGAACGTTATCAGCGAGTTATTGGTAAACTGATCTATTTAACCTTGACACGCCCAGAACTGAGCTATAGTGTGCATATACTTGCACAATTTATGCAATCACCGCGGATGGAACACTGGGATGCAGTTATTCGGGTTCTTCGCTATCTTAAAGGACAGCCCGGTCAAGGTATTTTACTTCGTGCTGATTCTGATTTACATCTCCGCGATTTTTGTGACTCGGATTGGGCTGCGTGTCCGATTAGTCGACGTTCTCTCACTGGTTATCTAGTTATGTTGGGTGGCTCCCTAATCTCCTGGAAGACCAAAAAAAACAACCTACTGTGTCCCGCTCATCTGCTGAGGCAGAATACCGATCCATGGCTATTGTAGGATGTGAATTACTTTGGCTTAAAAATCTCCTTTTTTCTCTTAGGGTTTCTCTTACACATCCCATGGGTGTATTTTGTGACAATCAAGCAACTCTCCACATTGCATCAAATCCGGTATTTCATGAACGAACGAAACATATAGAGATTGACTGTCATTTTGTTCGTGATCTTATTCAGCATGGCATCATCTCTACTCAACATATTAGTTCTTCTTCACAGTTGGCAGACATTTTCACCAAGTCTCTTTGCTCGCGGCAGTTTCATTTTCTCATGTCCAAGTTGGGCGTTCTAAACTTGAGGGGGGGGGGGGTGTACGAGAGTATATTTTGTTATTTATGTACAAATATTATTGTATTTAATTCTTTCCTTATTATTTTATCAGGCTCCTATTGTATCTACGGAATGGAGTTATTTTAGGCTTAGTCTTAGGCCTTGTAGTTACCATATTTTTACCTTCTT